GATCAAGTCCATGGTGAACAAGGAACTTGGCCCAGATTTGAAACACCACTGCTTGTGCTTTCCAACCCCATGGTGCAACCACCAGACCACAAACGTCTTTCCCACTTTTTGCTGTTGAGAAGGAAGAGTCAGCTTTCAGGCTTGGAGAAATGTGGTGGACTGAGGGCAGGAAGGATCTGTCATTCATAAGAAAACGCGGGCTAGAATTTCAAGATTTATTTAAATTCTAAATTTCCTTAATGCTGATAGAGTCGAGGGGCAGAAGAAGGTTCTGCCACTCATGGCTCTCGCTGCAGCAGAGAGCTCTCTTCTCGAGCTGCAAAAACCAACGGCACACTTAATTCCTTCACACTTTGGAAAACAGTGGCACCTTGCACGAGATAGAAAGCTGGCTCATTTTTGATTCTTCCTTCTTCCCCAGGCCCCAAAAGCGACCTTGAATTAATGCGCATTCCTGATTAGCGCGATGATATAAATCACAGTAAGCTGCTTTCATGTGGAGATGTGAAGCCTGTGCTCCTCAGGGCCCTGCAGTGCACACACTCCCAGCAACGTGAAGTGCAGTGACACCAAACAAAGCTGCTTCTGGTGTAATGTGCTACACAAACTGTTGCGATTATCTCCAAGGATGTGGGAACTTTATCTGCTTCAACCCTTTGCTCTCAGACATTATAAAGTTAATTATACAATGTGCCAAGGGGGAGGCAAGGAGAAACCTTGTTAACCTTTTCTTTCTGTGGTTTTCCCCCCTCACTGCATTTACATTGGCCTTGAAGAGCTGGGACATTTTGCAGATGGTTTAGGGTCTATAAATTCTTATTTAAATCATCATGAGCCAAGTATAACAGGTAGCAGTCCAGACTTCTCTAGAAAGGACAAACTCCAGCTAAGCATGTAAATAATACTCCAGTGCCTTTTAGTAGATAAATACATATACTGAGCCAGGTGCCCTGGAAGGTTTATTCACATTTTGCTATTGTTGCTCAGTAAAATGAACTGGGTATGCATCACGTGACTCTGCAATATTTTTTTAAAATGCTACTTCTCAGTGAACAGAAAAATCTACAGGCCAAAGGAAGGTGATATTTCCTTCACTGCTCCACTGTCAGAAGGTGCCCATCTCAACTAAAGACAACCAAAACTCTGTCTTTATCCACCAAGCCTCAAATGGCCAAGTCCAACCAGGCTGTTGCCAATCAAGGAAAAGCAAGAGGAAATTACCTGCTTGAGATCAGGTGGGTGTAAGGAACGATGGGTGAGGAGGGCAGTGGTACATTTTCTTTACTACTGGTGAAGAGTGTGGCAACAATACAGCAGAGAATTATGTTCTGTGCTGAGTTGAGAGAAAGAGGGTACTCAGTACTGCCCATTATAGCTGGGAAATGCCCTGAGACAGGCACTGATGGCACCTTTTGCTTGTCTAAGCAAGACATATCCTCCCTGGCCTCTGTGTCCCTGTGTCCCAGATGCTGCTGTCTTCCCTTAAAAGACCATGTTTTGAGACTTAGTGAATAAAGGCTCTGTTCATGGTATTTCTGATGAAGAATCCTCTGCACATATTAATTCTTTTTACAATTCTTTTTACTTAATTAAAAGGAATAGCATCTGCACCTTTTTTTTTTTTTCCTGAGAAATCCAAGAATTTTTTACAGGTTTGTTTATTTCTATAGCTTTTTTAGATATTGATTTTTTTCAGTCCCCACCTGCCAGCTGTGCATTATGGAGCATCTGTTGGTGAGCCCAAGAGTGTTAAATGTATATAGCTCCCTCCAGAGTTTCCCAGTGAGATTCAATGCAGTTCCATGAGGGACACCTAGGTCTTCTCCCACAAGTCCCCCAAAAGAGGAAAATATAATTCAATTCCATCTATTCTTGTCCAAGACCTGACAAAAGAAGCCATAGACTGGGAGTCATTCACAAGCACAGAGAGGGGTGTTGGCTATTCCTTTAAAGTCTATCCTGATGCAGAATAACATTTTACAGCTGATCATCCATAGCAGCTGAAATCACCTGAAAGCAGAGTCTGAATGTTAAGAAAGATCTTTTTTAATACTGCACTTTCACTAATACTTTGTAGGAGTCTTGTGCCTAAACCTCTAGGCTGTCCCAGTGAGCTGCTAGGGCATACTAATTCCCATCACCCCATAAAACACACCCCTGAAACTGAAATAGAGTGCAAGTGGTTCTACAGGGTAAACATTAGTTGCAAATGCACCTACTCAGCACTTTCAGGTCACCCAGTATATCCCCTGGTACTGCCCCTCTGAGACAGGACTTCAGAAGCAGCCTTGCTATGGCTTATGGACAGGGCTTTTTGGGGACCCAAGTATCTACTCAGAGGATGCCTTTCCTCAGACAAACAGTATTTTCAGAGCTGTTGGCTGATCAATCTTTGGTTTCCTGGCCTGCTGCCTCCACGTGTGGTTGCCTATCCCTGCTAGTCTGGCAAAGGGAAGAGAAAATATTTGGCCTTTGGGAACCGGACAACTCGTTGCCCTGTATAGCTGACATGAGTGTAGGATTCTGAGTTCAAATATTCTGTACCTGTTTTGCACAGGAATGAATATTACACAAGGTGCCAGGCAAGTGAAGCATAGCTAATGTAAAAACACCTTGGGCTGGTTCCCAGTTACCCTGCAGCTGTGTTAGTATTTACAGCACCGGCAGTAAAGTGCCCCTGAATCAGAATAGGAACAACTTTTATTCTCCTTGAATGCATAAATCAGGCCACATAGTTCTGCTGGAATTACAGGCCATTTGCAGTCATTTGTCTCCCTCCACGTGCTTTGCCCAGCAGGTAGCCTGTAATTATTTGATAATAAAAATTATAGGCATTTTTACATCGCTGGTCCTCGGCAGGAGCCGAAGATTACCCAGTGATTTTTACACAAGCTGAGAATTTAAGCCTGATGTCCTGGCGGGTTTCCAGGCTGGAAGACTCGATGGCCTGTCTAAATCCCTGAGGAATTTCTGACAGGCTGTGGCACTCTGCTCGTCCTCAGCAGCTGCACTGGGGCAGCTCTGCAGCTCGAGGGTGGCAGGAGGTATTCCTCCCCCCCTGAAAAGGTGCTCATGATTTGGTCGCTTTGATAATTCCCTTGGGAGCTGCAGGGATGAAAGAGACCATATGAATGAAATCTATCACTGCACCCTGGGAGTCTGATATGGGATAAAAGATTGTGATAGTTTACATATGATTATTAAAATTTCCAAACGTCTGTGTAAAATCTGCTCTGCTCTGGTTTTGTTCCTCCCCTCGAACAAATATTCCAAAAGAAATGAAAGAGATTATATCATTAGAAGTTTGAAGTGTCATGTGAGAGGTGCATAGCCAAAAAAGAAGTTTGTTAGTGGTAGAAGAATACCTGTTCCATCATTTTCCTCATTTAAGTTGTCTGCACCTGAAAAGAATAAGCCTTGCTTTGTAAAGGAAACTTCTTGGGAAATTAGTCCTTCCTCTCTAGCTTCATTATAAAGGACAACTTTTTTTTGCCTATGCATTTGATAATTTATGTATTTGTAAATATAATAAAACCGCAGTGGTTTGGACATTACAGGGAATGACTGGTTTGGGGAATCTGAGAAACGAAAAGAGATAAAAACATCAGCTACAAAAAGGAGTGCCTGCATTACAAATGGACTTTGTTATTTTTTATCTTGGCAAGTATCATTAAAATTTAATTCTTTATACACCCATGACAGATAAGTTTGTCCCACTTCACATTAAATATGTTATGCATTAATTTTGACAAAGTCATTAAACCCACTGCACTGAGACCTCACCCCAGCTCTCTGAAGGCCCTGCTCAGCAAATACAGGACTGTGGAATTGGGCCTTAACTTCTCCCCACTGCAATCAGTGGGATTAGTGCCATGAACTTGGAGACAAGCTTCTTTTTTCCCCCCTAAAGTCTCCTTTTATTCGGTGAAACCCCCAGTTTCACCAGGAAAAGTGAGTGTGCAGGGGTTCTGCTGGGGCCACGCACGTGATTTGATTTCTTTGCCTCACTTGTAAAAACTGAACCTAGTTTTTAAGCCTGGAAAAATGCATTAAACTCCAGCCCTTAGTGCCAGCACCGGCATGAGGGTTGGCCTGGCAGGGCTATGGCAGCTCAGCCTCTTCCCTCGCTGCTTCCAGAGGCAGCTGAGCCCTCACACTGTGGGACACACACTGCTGAACGTGCTCAAGAGGAGTGAACAGGCTGCTTTGTTGCTAATCACAATACAGAGGAGAAGAAGTGTTTTGTCCCAGACACGTCTAAGTTCAGATTTGTGCTTCACTTGGTGCCAAGAGCCAGTTCTGAGCCCTTTATCAGTCACAGCTCTGTCCTAAGGGCCTGATTTGGGGAATGGAATGGGAATGGATGGTGTGGGTGAGCACCGTCTGAGGTGGGCATTCAGAGTCGCCTCCAAAAGATCCCATATTTTTTCCATGTGGAATGTTGAGAGGATTTTTAGGGGATTTAGCCCCATTCTTTTGACAACCCTGGCAGCTGAGGCTGGGGATGAAGGAGGATCTGAGAGAGTAATGGAAACTGTGGGCAGAAGAACCAGGCCATGGGGATGTGTAGATGATCCCCTCACCTGTGGGGTGTGGGGATGTGAGAATTATCCTTTCATGGGGTGGGGATGGGGGGGGATGATCCCCTCAAGGCATGGGGATGGTGGAATGAACCCCTCAGAGTGTCCCACAACGAAGAGCTGGCCCGAGCCCCACAGGTGCCTCCAAGACCTCGGGGTGCAGAGACAACCCCTCAGCAGCGGGTGGGGTCCCTGAGGGAGAAGCGCCGGGGATGTGGGCTCTGCTCGGGGGTGCCCGTCCGCGGTCTGCGGAGCCGGCCGGGGCTGCCCTTCTCCTTCTCCTCCTCCTCCTCCTTTTCCTCTCCTCCTCCTCCTCCTCCCCCTCGTGTGCGGTGCGCGGCCGCATGTGGGGCGCAGGCGGCCGAGTCTCCACCTCTTCTGGCAGCGGGAACCTGTGGCTGCCAAGCTCCATTAAAGCCATCAGCAGCCAGGGGGACGCGCTGCGCCGCGGTGAAGGCGGGGTGGGCTGCGGCGTTTTTTTATTTTTTATTTTAAAATACATACTTTTTTTTTCTTTTTTTTTTTTTTTTCTTTTCCCCTTTCTCCCTCCGCGAGGCTCGGGCTGAGCAGGACGCCTGCGGGCTGGAGCCGCGGTGCCGCCGCCGCGGGCACCGGTGCGCCGGAGGCGGCCCATGGCTGCACCGCCTGGCCCCGCGCCCCGCTGAGCTCCGCGGGCACCTCTGGCCGGGGAACACAGCGGGCACCATGGTCCGGTGCTGGTGGCTCGCAGGGCTGCTCGTAGGTAGGTGCCACCGGCCGCCAGTGCCGTCCCGGGGCAGCAGGAGGGTGGCGGAGTCGGGGTCGTCCCCTCCGGCGGGCTCCCCGGCATCTCCCTCACCCACCAGGGCGCTGCGAGGGGGCAGGAGGTTGCTGAGGGTGTGCAGGGAATTGGGGTGCCAGGGGACGGTGTGGGGAGCGCAGAGGAGCAGCGTGCGAGGAGGGTACGAGGAGAGCGCAGCGGACTGGGAAGGAGGATGCAGGAAACTGCAAAGGGAGTGCAAAGAGGATGCAAAGAAACGGCAAAAGGACGGTGCGAGAGGGGTGCAAGGAGCGGGCGAGGAGGGGGCGAGGAGGGGGCAAGTGGAAGTCGCACGGCGGGTCTCGGTGGGGCCGACTCTGGGACGGGGCTCCCGGGGTGTCCCCGCACTGGTAGGAGACACCCGGTGCCCGGAGCGGGCCCCGCTCTCTCGGTCCCTGCCCGGCCCGGCAGGGTGTCCCCGCCGTGCGCACCCGCGGAGGAGCCGGGAATCGTCCGGGGCGATCCCCGCGCTGCCCCGCAGCTCCCACCGCCCACGGCCGGAGCAGGGGACGGGCAGGGAGCGCCCCAGAGGGACCCCGGCTCCCCGGGATGCTGCCCCCGAGCTGTGGGGCCGGGAGGGAGGACTGACCCTTCCCGTGCCCCCCTCTGACTGTGCGCCGGGTGGGGATGCCAGAAGGGCTGGCGGGACGGTGCTGAGCTGCCCAGGGCGGTGCTGGGCTGGGGCTCAGCCTCTGCCTCCCAACCGGGGCTCCCAAAGTGGTGGGGGTCGCTGCCCCCTCCCCAGAAGCTCTGCCGGGCATCCCCTGTGCCATCGCAGCTTGCTCCGGTCCGGAGCGCGGTGCGCGGTGAGCTGAGTTTCGCTGCAGGAAGGACTTAGAGGTGATTCTCACTGAGAGTTCGGTATTATCTCCGGGAGGACCCAGCACCTGCCCCGGCAAGGGACAGCCTCATAAGGAGTCTCCTGTTCCCGGGACATGACACTGATCCCCAGCTGTGCAGACAGACCTTCAGAGCAGCACAGGCTGCATCTTTGTGGCTCCCTTTCAAAAAGGCATCTTTCAACCCCACAGTTCTTGGACCAGTTTCAGAAGAAAAGGTTCTGGCTTAAGAGACCATATGGGAGAACAAAGGCAACTGTGCTGTGAAAAAAACACGAAATTATTTCTGTTTACAACAAGGAGCAGAGCCTGAGGGAGGCTCCTCCATCCTCAGATAGTATTTTCCTAAGAAAAGTAAAGCAGAACTCAGCACCCCTGAACAGAAGGGGCAGGTGAAAGGAAGGATAGGAGGATGTCCCTGAGGGCCCTGTGCAGTCGGGACACTGGAAATCCAGGCACCTGGGTTCCTGCTAGCTTTCTTTCTACCACTTAGTGCACTCCTCTGAGGTTTTGGGCAGCAAAATATCACACTGGCTTGCCTCTCCGACTCAGGGCTTAGTTTAATGGTCATTGTAAAAGAATCCTGTAGTGACAGCTATTGGATGTTACTTGCATGAAGAGTAAAGGACCAGACCACAGGAAGAAATCTCTGAGCACGGCACTTCTGTTGGGTAACTTTTCTGTTCTCCTTTTGCAGGGTCTTGTCATTTTCACAAAGATAAGGCTAAACAGGTTGAGAAACGTGTATTGTCTGTGTATTTTATTAGCTCAAACTGCTCTCCTCAGAGGTCTTTTATACCGCACTATGTAAGATTAGTCACTGAAGTCCAATTAGAATACTTCTTCCTTCAGTTCTCCAGAATTTCTTTTAGTCCTGTCTAACTTAAACCCTCAGCTTCTTGTGTCTGATATCGGTAAGAGAATTTCCAATGATTTCAGTAGGAACAGAAACTGGACCTTAAGACAACTATTTAAAGAGCTCAGTCAGACCCAGAACTCATTAAAATCAAAGCAAGGTTTGCCAGTGACTTCACTGTGAGCAAGACTGGCATTCTGCATTTTGCATAAAGCTGAAAATCAGCATGAGCATGACACCAGTGCATAATTAGTTGTAAAGGCACTTTAGTCAGGTAACTGGATCTGATTTTGGAGTCTCCCCCAGAAAAGAATCACTCATTCCTGGAAATGTCCCCAGAGACTTGCTGAGTTTCACCTAAGCTTTCATTAAAGTCTTTGCATTCCAATAACACCACGCTGATATTTTTCATGTGTAGCTTCTCCAGCGTGGTTTTAACATAAAAGATCTGTTCTTGCTTCCAATGTTTATTTTTAAGTTTGAAAATGACAGTGTTGAGGTAAGATAAGATCACCAGTTGCATTCACTTACGAGATTAGAAAGAGAATCCCAGAAGTGATAGTACTACATTCAATATAGAGATGTGTGTATTTACTCATGCATAAATCTGTAGTTACTATTAAACCAACATCATTGTCTTTGGTTCAAATATTTATTTGGGTAATATTTATTTAGCTAATTTATTTTTACCAAGTTGGAGGTTTTTCTTCTTCATTTCTCAAGCTGGCCAAAAAAAAATCAACAGCTAATGTGTCATGCCAGATTGTGTGATATGACTCTATTTGTTCTTCCAATAATTATAGGTTAGCCACGTTTCAAAGTATATGGATATAGATAAAAACAGGGCTGAGAAGTAAAAAAAAAAAAAAAAAAAAAACACAAGTGAAAAAAATATGGTGTGGTTTCTATATTTTCCCCACAAGCACAAATTGTTGAGTAAGGAGATTTTCAAAAGCCAGAAATTGCTGTGAAGAAAACCAAAGCTGCAATCCAATGCTAGGGGAGGCTGCATCTGGCAGAACAAAGTTTGGAAGGAGATTTTGCTTTCAGTGGGATCCTGTGTTTCCCCACAACACAGCATATGTCATCTGTAAAGACAACGCTTTCATGGACGAGATACAATCACTGCTAAAATCAACCTCAAAATTAGGGAGCACCTATACAATGCTCTTACACAAGTGCCTGGGATTTCTCACTCGTTTGCTGAGGAAGATAAAGGTGTGAAAGAAGAGAAACTTCCTGATTTTTAAGATGTTGTCTCTCAGATATAACAATCCCAAGACACTGACGGTGAGAATGTGAGAATTTCAATGTGCAACCCTTCTTCTCTAGGCTAAGAGTGCTGCCAGAAACTGAAAATATGATTCATAGAACAGCTCCTTCTCTTCCCAGTTTAAGTTGTGTAAGATCTGAGGGGTTAGTAATCTGCAATCTGTGGGATTTTTTTTCTTTAAGGAGTTAAAAGGTCTCATGCTCTAAAATGAAAAAATGAGACAAGTTCTGTTTCTGTGTCTGATGTCTGTTTGAAATGCCAAAGCTCCGGAGTGTGAAGTGATAAGAGGGTTGAAATTCATCATTATTTTTGAGTTTTAGCAGGGTGATGGTGTGATAATCGTGTCTCTCATACTGATGTTTTCTAATTTTTGGTGAACAGCTTATTAAATCATCACAGTTTGAATTCAGCTGAAACTGAGAATGCAGCAGAGAAGCTCAGCTCCTGTGGCACTGTTGGATAGACAGTTGGATCAGTGCAACAACAGCTCTTGACTTACAGCTGGTGTGATGAGACATAAATCAACAGGGGGAGTCTCACCACAGAGTGTTTGAAGAGATTTGCTCCAGTTTAGATTTTAAACCAGTGCTTTAAACTTGAGTGTATCCCTTTAGTCAAGCACTGAAAAAGTCCCCCACGGTTTCTCCTGGGTTAATAAGAAACACAGACAAATGTGTGACATTTTGGCCTTGCCTAACTCAGGGGCTGAGGTCTTTGGAAGCGGGTTTTCACCCTGCACTCTGGGATCAATGCATACACCAAGCTCCCCACTGAGACAATTGGATTCACCTTGTTCACACTCCTGCTAAATCCACAAGTGCTCGACGTGGCAGGTTACAGCTTGGATCTCCCCTGTTGATACAAAAACACAATGACATGTTATTTTTAAAGCTTCTCAGAGAAAAAAAAAAAATCATTTTCCCCAGTTAGTCTGCCTGGAAAAGAGAGATGAAAACATAAATGACAGGGAAGTTTTGCAGCAGAAAAGCTCCTAGGCTTGGTTAGCTTTGAGTAGCACGAGTGCCGTTATTAGATTATGCAGCACGTAGGTTGAATGTCAACTTTGATTTCAGCATCTGTCGGCAGAGTTTAGGAGAACTGGAACACATCAAAACTTGGCTGATGCTGACAGGCAAAACAGTAGACCGAAATTTCAGGCTATCTAGAAACCACACCCAGACCCCAAAGCACATGTTAGAAGTAACTTTAATTCTGTGCTTTAGCTGAACAAGTAACCTTTTTCTGTGGTCACTTGTGGCTCTAAGTTAAATGTGTGTGTGTGTGTTTCTGCTGTGGGCTCTGGATCAGTTTTCCACCTTTCTGCAGAGCTTTCTGTTCCTGAGGGTACCTTCTGCTGTGACTGCTTTGGAATGCCCCTCTCATCCTTGGCCTCTCAGGAGCCAAGTAGCCTCAGCCTATTAGATCCTATTAGATCCTATTTTTATTACTGTAAACAGTGTCCTCGCAGCAGAGCCAGGAGTCCTGTTGTGTTAGGTGTTAAATAAGAGAGAACAAAAGGATCGTTCCTGCTTTAGTGGGTTTATAACCTAATTTCCTGGATTTAAAGTTTCAACAGTGAGTACTTGACATTGCAGGGACCCACTGGGATTCCCAGCTGTGGCCAGCAGTTCGGTACCTGTTGCAGTTGGTTGTGTCTCTGCACACCCAAATGCCTCATTTCTAGCCCCAGAGAAGCCAGGCAGTGATTTTGATGAGTAGGACAGTGAACAATGTGCTCACACAGGAGAGCAGCTGTCTCCTGTGGGAGCAGGGAGCTGGGGTGGCTCCATGGCAGTGGGAGACTGAAAGGCCACTCAGATTATCCTGCCAGCTCCCTGCCAAGAGCGGGTTCTTCCCTGCTGAACTCATGTTTTGCTCAATCCCTCAAAATCCTGCCAAGCAAGTGGACTTGCCCTGCCCACAACACTGCGCCTCGAGAAGTTCACCCTCACACACGAGCCACATGTTTTTCCTC